AAAGAGAGTTTGATGTTGTTCTATATTAACATTCTCCAAATCCTGAACTCTGATTGGTCCGCACGGACTGCAACCTGATTGGCTGACTAAACAACTGTGATTGGTGCGCTAAGGGTCTACTGCGATTGGCTGAGCTGATCGCAGGAGATTCAAAGCGCTGTCATTGGCCACCGAGCCGCCGGCCAGTGCTATAAGAAAAGCCGCGCGGCTCGCAGATCTTGTTCAGAACTAAATATAAAATAAAGAGCTGACTGTTCACTGTGAGTCTCACGTCTAAATGAACCCGATCTACCCGATCTAACAGATGTTAACTGAGGGTTCTACTTAGAATTATTTAATTAAAGGACTCTTTGGAGATATCTTATTTGTGTACATATGACACACAGAGAATTCTGTTGAGGAATAATCAGATATGTCTTCCTAAGCACTGTACAAAGTATTAGATTTCCAGTGCATCTCACGCAAGCCTCTTATGATCAGTTTTACAAAGTTAATAAAAAAACAAAAGTGATTCTAGATTTATTTGCTTTTGTGAAACAGCAAAAACAATGTCTAAGTCTCCAGGTGATTCTTCCCAGCAGAAAACCAGTCAGCGGATGGAGGGCAGTGCAGAACCAGTGTTTCGCCATATGGCTCTCAATGATCAACAAAGGACACAGTGCTTAACAGACTGAAGAGGGCTTGTTTATGTCAAATGAGTATCTATCATGCTTTGTTAATTCATGTCCCTATGTACACATACCTAATAAAGTGCAGAGTTCTCAGAGCGATGTGCTGCAGAGATTTTTAATCCCAATGCAGACTCAGAAAGGTGGATGGGGGAAGCACTGATGCAGCTCTCTCTCACCGATGTAGCTCTCTCTCATGAAATACTCACTGTATTTCATGAATGAAATGAACTGGATCCATAATGAACTAAGCTGCCGTGTTCTGGAAATACTTGTCCCTCAAAGCCCAATTTTAGGAACTAAGCATCCTATTTGTGGAACAATACCTCCAGTCACCTGCATAGTCTCCCATATAATTGTGTCTTCCCCTTTTCCCCTAGTATGGGCTCATATTTAACATCAAATGCTCAGAAAGGGCATTTTCCTAAGAGGGGAATCCCTTCCTGCCTTCTGCACTCACATAGGTCTGCTCTGTCATGGATAAGGAAAGTTTATAGACACACCTCACATTTAAAAACAGCAGATCAAGTTTTTTTGCCTCTCATCTGGAACATATTATTTCTTTTCTTGTCACTACCACCTATTCCAACAGCAAAAAAGCTCAGCTATGTGTAAACCATTTTGGGATGAATCCATTTTTTTCTTCCTGAGCCCCAGGGAAACCTTTTGGGAGCAAAAATGCCTCCCCAGGAGGCTTCCCTGAGGCCGATAAGGCCCAAAAACAGAGAGGAGGTGCTGCCAAAAAAAGAAGAAGAGGCCATGCCCACCCAGTCACAGGGCCATGCCCACCTAGCCATGCCCACAGAACTGGTTGTTAAAAAATTTGAATCCCATCCCTAAGGATAAAATAGAGTTTTTCTCTATCATCTATATCTCCATCTGTTATGTCTTTGGAACTGGTTGGAGTCCCCAACCAGGTCCGCTGTTTGAGCGGGAGCACCAGCCGCTCCCATTGGCTGGCTCCGTTTGACAGCCGGCTATAAAAGCCGGCTGTCGAGCAGAGCCAGCCCGTTGCCGCCAGCTAACCTGCTAGTTAGAAGGCAGATGCGGCAACCCTTTATTCCCTGTAATAAAGCCTGTTAGTTGTTCACTCTGGCTCTTGCCTCTTCCTTCTGCCGCTCCACAACACTGGCGACGAAGGTGGGATGTGGTCGAAGGCTAGCCAGACATGCTTTTCAAAAGAGCTGTGGTCACTGAAGAGCGAAACCACGGGCGCTGTAGCCGCAGCCGCCGGCGCTCACAAAGAGCGCAAAATTCAAAGAGACTCCGTAGCCTAGAGAGACAGTCACCGCCTGTCAGCACAAACCGTCAACGCTCTTCTAAGAGCGTGAATTTTGAAATACGACTGAAGAGGACGAACCCTGCATCTTCAAAATGAATGCTAATCCAGCATTCCCACCATTCAAGCCAAACGAGGAAACGTGGGACTCATACAAAAATCGTTTCAGCTTTTTCCTTGATGCCATCGGTTTAGCAGATGCTGCTGAACACAGGAAGAAGTCCTACTTCCTCAGCTATTGTGGGGCTGCAGTTTTTGACACCGCTACAGCACTAGTCGCCCCTCACGCTATCAGAAGCGTACCGTGGGATGAACTCCAAGAAATCCTCTCCAACCACTACTCGCCAAAACCATCTCAGATAGCCAGGAGATATGCCTTCAGAATTAGAAAACAGGCGGAGGGAGAGTCAATCAACGAGTATATGGCAGTGCTGAGGACAGCTGCCTTGCAGTGTGGGTTCAAAGACTACCTTGAAGACATGTTATTGGACCAGATCGTCTGTGGGGTTAGAGACCTGAGGCTCCAAAGGCGTTTGCTCGCAAAAAAGGACTTGAACCTAGCCTTAGCCATGGAGGAAGCCCAAGCTGCTGAGCTCTCTGCCCAATCAGCAGCTGAAATTCAAGGTACTCCGTTAAAACCCAGCAGTTCCACCATCCATTCAGAGGAAGTGCTCAGTGAAGAAGACCCCACAGACTCATCAGATATTAACCGCCTTAAGCAACAGAAGCCTTCACAGGTAGGAGCGGGGCAGAGAAACAACTTCGCCCTCAAACAACCTCCCATTTGCCTAACTTGCGGAGGCTCCCACTCTAGGGCATCCTGCAGGTTTAAGAATGCCACCTGCCTGAATTGCAAAAAGAAGGGTCACCTCGCTAGAGTCTGCCAAGCAGGGCGCACTTTGCCTCAAAGACCTCCACCACCTTCTAATTCCCAAAGGCAAGTGGAGGACTGCTATACCTGCTACCACGCTAACCATACTTCCCAGACTCCTAATAAAATCAAAATTTCTGTCTCCTTAGAAGGTAAACCCTGCAGGATGGAGGTAGACACGGGATCTGCACTTTCAATCATCTCCTGGGAGACCCTAAAGAAGATCCAGCCCAGACTGTCGAAGAAGCAGCTACAGAGATGCCACCTGACACTGCGGGACTACCAGGGCAAGAACATCCCTGTCCTCGGGAAAGGCAAGTTTTTAGTTCAATTCCAAGCCTTTAAAGGCCATTTGCCTTTAGTGGTTGTTAATGGTGCCCTCCCCAGTCTGTTGGGGCTAGATTGGTTCCCCTCCCTCGGCCTTAGTGTAACTGGGATCCATGCTGTCTCAACTTCTGACGTAGATGCACTATTTTCAGATTACTCTGATGTGTTTAGCAGCAAGCTGGGTTGCTATTCTGGCACCCCCATCTCCTTCTCTGTGGACCCCCAGGCAATTCCTCTTCGCCTTAAGCCACGCAGGGTGCCTTTCGCCATCCGTCCCAAGTTAGACGCAGAATTAGATAAATTACTAAAGCAAGGGGTGTTAGAACCAACTGATTTTGCCAAATGGGAGACCCCCATAGTCACCCCACTCAAGAAAGATGGCAGTTTAAGAATCTGCGCAGACTATAAAACCACCCTCAACCGTTACCTGCAAGTCAGTGCATACCCTGTCCCGGTTATTCAGCACCTGTTACATACCTTCGAACCCGGCACCATTTTCGCCAAGTTAGATATGTCCCAGGCATACCAACAGTTCCCTGTTGATGATCAGACAGCTGAATTACAAACCATAGTCACACATAGAGGGGCATTCAAGTGTAAATGCCTCCAATTCGGTGTAAGTGTAGCCCCGGGTATATTCCAATCACTCATGGAAAGGATTCTCCAAGGTCTCCCAGGGGTTGTTCCTTATTTCGATGACATCTTAGTCTCAGCAATTGACAGACCTCAGCTCATACAGAGGGTCAGAGCGGTTCTAGAGAAGTTTAGGCAGCATGGCCTCAAACTTAAAAGGGAGAAGTGCACCATCGCCACTAGGCAAGTGGACTTTCTGGGTTATAGGATAGACGCCTCTGGCATCCACCCAATCGAATCCAAGGTAAAGGCCATCCATGAGGCGCCCACACCAACTAACAAGACGGAGCTCCAAGCTTTTCTGGGGCTACTAAACTTTTACGCTTCATTTCTCCCGCACAAAGCATCTATCGCTGAACCCTTACACAGGCTGTTAGACAAAGAATCCCCCTGGCATTGGGGACCCAAAGAAGCCCATGCTTTCAAGTCAGTCAAATCCTTACTCACATCGGATGCAGTTTTAATTCAATTTGATCAACGACTTCCCCTGGTCCTAGCGGCTGATGCATCCCCTTTTGGGATTGGGGCTGTCCTAAGCCACAGACTTCCCAACGGTTCCGAGGCACCAATTGCCTTCTTCTCTAGGACCTTCTCTACGGCAGAAAGGAACTACAGTCAAATAGATAAAGAGGCCCTGGCTGCGGTGGCTGCAGTTAAAAAGTTTCACGAATTTTTGTTTGGGCACCATTTTGAACTTGTAACTGACCATAAACCTCTCCTGGGACTCTTATCAGGGGATAAGCAAACCCCGCAGGTACTATCACCTAGAATGACCAGATGGACTTTGTTCCTGGCCGCTTACTCATTCAAGTTGGTGCATCGACCTGGCAAAAACTTGAGTCACGCCGATGCCCTTAGTCGCTGCCCCCTACCAGTCCCAGTCGAAGACCCAGCACCGGTTCACGCCATTTTTGAAGTTAATGAACTTAAATTACCGGTTACAGCCGAGGACATTGCTGCGCACTCAAAAAAAGACAAGATAATTGCCCAGGTACTGGACTGGGTGGGAAGGGGGTGGCCGGAAACTCAATGTACCGTTGACTTTGCTCCTTTTAAAACCCGTAAGCAGGAACTATCGAAGCTACAAGGATGACTGTTGTGGGGTACAAGGGTAGTCATTCCAGCCACTCTTCGTGTACCCATCCTGAAGGTGCTTCACGAGGGCCACCCGGGCATCGTAAGGATGAAGGCTCTGGCCCACAGCTACGTTTGGTGGCCCGGCATGGATGCCCAAATCGCCAGCTGGGTAAGCTCATGCCAACCTTGCCAAGAAACCAGGGCTGCCCCACCAGCTGCCACGCCCACCAAGTGGGAGAGTGCTAGTGCCCCTTGGTCTCACCTGCACATCGACCTGGCTGGACCGGTGCATGGCAGGACCTTCTTGGTGGTAGTGGACTCCTACTCCAAATGGATAGACTTGGCCCTGCTACCCTCGACTACCACTCAAGCAATAGTTAAGGCTCTGACCCGCTTATTCACTACCCACGGACTCCCTGACACGCTGGTGTCTGACAATGGCCCGCAGTTCATGTCATGTGAGTTCAGTATGTACGTTGCTAACTTGGGCATCAGACACATACTTACAGCCCCCTTTCACCCCGCTAGCAACGGGATGGCTGAGAGGGCAGTCAGGTCAGCCAAGGAGGCACTCGCCAGATTTGGCCAGGAAAACTGGCACACTAAACTGTCACGTTACCTTCTGAGCCAACATACGATGCCATGCACTGCTACTAATAAATCCCCTGCCGAACTCTTGATGGGGAGACGCCTTAGGACCACCCTGGACAGGTTGCATCCCTACTACTGCCCAGACGCCCCTTTAGGGTCTGACAGTCTGGTCAGGGACTTTGTCCTGCATGACCTGGTGTACGCCAGGAATTATGCAGGGGATCCTTTTGTGGGTACCAGGTCAAGTTGTGTCAGTCACAGGTCCTAGATCCTACAGGGTCCTCCTGGAAGATGGACGCTTGTGGCGGAGACACATGGACCAACTCAGAAGGCGATGGAGAAGTGCGACTGATGCCGACCCAGCCCAACCTTCCAGCACCAAGGACTCCCTGCCGGTACCAGTTTGCTCAGACGGAAGCTCCCTGCAGGACCCGGTCCACCCCGTCGACCAGGAGAGTTTGCTGGAGGACCCGAGTTTCCAACTAGAGACACCGAACCAACAGCCAAGCGAACCTGTTTGCCAACCGGACCTAACGACTCGCCAAGGTCAGCCCGAACAGGGGGACTTACCGAACTCGCAGAACACCACACCTGACCTAGCCCATTCCCCAACAACCTCCGAGGCAATTCCCGGGGGCAAGGACTTGACGCCAGCCAGCAGTTTACCCGGGTTGCGACGTTCTTGTCGCCAGCGCAGACAACCGACTTACCTAAAGGACTACGCATGTGCCCAGCTGGGGGAAAGGAGTGTTATGTCTTTGGAACTGGTTGGAGTCCCCAACCAGGTCTGCTGTTTGAGCGGGAGCACCAGCCGCTCCCATTGGCTGGCTCCGTTTGACAGCCGGCTATAAAAGCCGGCTGTCGAGCAGAGCCAGCCCGTTGCCGCCAGCTAACTTGCTAGTTAGAAGGCAGACGCGGCAACCCTTTATTCCCTGTAATAAAGCCTGTTAGTTGTTCACTCTGGCTCTTGCCTCTTCCTTCTGCCGCTCCACAACACCATCCATCTCTGTTATCTCTATATGCTGCTAGCTACTTGAGAGGGGACAATGAAGGGAGGAAGTTTGAAACTGTTGGAATTCTTTTAATATTTGGAGTGCAGTGTTTTTTTTACTTTAATTCTGAACACTGGAGCAGGGGAGAAACAGAACTGGAACTGTTGTTCCTTCTTTTTATTTTTGGGAAAGGAAGTTTAAAGAAAATTACAGAGTTAAGTTGCCAGGCCTGTTTCATTTACTGGCTTTTTTTCATGTCACTCATTTAATTGAATCAAGGTCACTTTAATGAATAGCATGAAAAGCATAATCCAGTTCATAAGGACAGAAGCTGGGGGTATTTTAATGCCCATGGTTTGTTTCCTCCCTCTCCAAACAATCATACTGATAAGGAAGAAAAGGAGAGATAAACCTTACAGAAAGGCAGTTGTTTCTTTGCATTTACACAGACCTCACATTAAAATTAAAAAAGCAGATGCTCTTTAATCTAAAGATAATTTATTAACACTTGGAACTCATCAAAACATAACAATAATGAAATCAAAGGTTCTCATTTTATTTCTTCCTCCTCCTCCTTTCACCAGGTATGCCCTTCATGCTAATTAAATATTATAAGCAATAAAACAAGGGCCTGATCATCATCTATAATGATACCAAGACTGGCAACTGCCCAACTTCTCAGTGGCTGTGATTTGATAAGATGAAAGATTTTTTTTAAAAAAATAATGAAGCAATGTAAAAACACTAAAATTTGGAATTGGTTTTAAGATAGCTATTTTAAAGATTGAACAACAACCTTTGCTATGTTCTTTCTTAAAGCTAAGGTCTTCTGTTTTTTTTTTTTTTTTTGGAGCATGTGAATCCATTGGGAATTTTGATTGTTCTGGAAGCTCTCACAAAATTATTTTATTCAATTATTATTGAAGAGTTGTGCCAAATCAAATAGTATTGTTTACCAGGAGTTAAACAGGTGAAGTTGCTTCTTGCTTCCTCCGCCGATACTTTCAATTACCATAATTTATTCTTATCTACCATATGGGGAAACTTATACATACTGGCTGAATTCAGTCATATTTTTCATTTTTATTTATTTATTTATTTGGTTTGTCAATTGCTTACAAGATAATAGGTATAAGTAAAAACATAGTTATGAATACATGGATACATATAAGAAAAACAAAAAACAAAAAAAACCCAAAAGGACAGGGACGGTAGGCACATTGGTGCGCTTATGCTTGCCCCCTACAGACCTCTTAGGAAAGGGGTGAGGTCAATAGTAGACAGTCTGAGGTTAAAGTTTTTGGGGTTTGAGGAAGAAACCACAGAGTCAGGTAGAGTGTTCCAGACATTGACCACTCTGTTGCTGAAGTCGTATTTCCTGCAATCAAGTTTGGTGCGATTAACCTTGAGTTTGTATTGATTGTTTGCTCTAGTGTTGTTATTGTTGAAATTGAAGTATTCATTGACAAGTAGGACATTGCAATATATGATTTTATATACTATACTTAGATCAGACTGAAGGCAGTGTAGTTCTAGATTTTCTAGGTCTAGAATTACAAGTCTGGTTGCATAAGGTATTCTGCAACGAGTAGAGGAGTAGATAACTCTTCTTGTGAAATATTTCTGGATAGCTTTTTTAAGAAGTAGGCACATATTCTGTCCGGTCCAATAGACAGAGATGCTTTTTAGATTGCGTAGTGCTTTTTCAACATTGTCTTCTGTAAAATCAATATGTATTAGATCATTGTAGTTGTTTGTGGTTCGACTAGGAAATACTGGGCATGATCCATTGTTGTTTACAAATACTGAGCCAAAGAATATGTTAAAGAGATTGGCTTTAATGGTGTCATTGTTGCAGTCTTTACCATTTGGTCCTATCAGGAGTGGGATGGACCTTGAGTCTTTTAGATTGTTGTTTACAAAATTGTAGAAAGCGCAGGTGGAATTGGCGCATAGAAGGTTTCCTCTTGTTTAATGTGATAATTGGTGCATTCAGTCTTTATCTGGTGGCATAGATTTTTGTATTGGCTTTTGAAGTTGGCAAAGTGACCAGATTTGTTTTTCCACCAAAGTGATTTCTTTTTGGATTGAAGCTTCCTTATTTTTATGGATAATTTGTTTGTTTTTTTGGTTTTGGGAGTTGTTATTGGTACATATAGTTTGATGACTCTTTTGACTTCAAGTAAAAATATGTTGTAATGGTCTTCTACAGTATTGCATCCAGTGAATAGAAATTGCCAGTCAAGGGATGAGAGATCATTGTCTATAAGATCATAGTTGCCTTTTTTGGAGTTATAATTGGGGATTCCATCATTGTGATGATTTTTGTGTGGACGTATGTTGAGACAAAATTCAATCACATTGTGGTCACTGTTGGAAAAGGGTTCTTTAATTTGTATTCCATAAATTGAATTCAAACTATTGCAGAAGATGAGATCGAGGCAGTTGTTAAGTCTAGTGTTGTTGGTTACTAGTTGTTCTAGTCCCAGATTTGTTACTGCATTGTAGAAGGTTGCATGTGTGAGTTCAGTTGTACATTCATTAAGGGTCCAATTAATATGAGGTAGATTGAAGTCACCAAGAAAGATAAAAGCGTATGGGCAGGATGCTCCCCATGTTAGTAGTGTATTTAGTTTGTTTGCATGTTCGATGTCATAATCAGGGGCTCTGTAACATAGTAAGAACCGAAATGTGATATTTAAGGACTGTTCACAGACGATGGTCTTAGGAATAGCAAGCTCCTGGGTAACTTGGATGTTTGTAGATGTAGGGACTTTTTATAGAAGATAGCAACACCACCTCCTCTACAGATTTCATGATCTGATTATTAAAATGATAATCTCTTACTGTGGTAATGGAGTCATGGAGAGATGCCTTGAGCCATGTTTCACAGACAAATATGATGTCGAATTATATGGGTGGGATTGGATTTTGCAATGATGTTTAGTGTATGAATGAATATACATTTGCTGGACTCATTTTTGCAAGCAACTCTACAAAATCTTGGGGCCAGAGAGCCATCATTGTATTTGTACTCAGGGCCATCTCTGGTGAGTTCAATGATATCTTCAGGAGAGATGTTTGTTGTATTTGAGTTGCTTATGATAAGCAAACTTTGGTGATGTTGTCTGATTCGTTGGTGTCTTTGAGACCAAATAACATGGCATTTGGACGTTTCTGTTCATGTTCCATGATGTCTCTGATGAGTAAGGGGATATTATTTGTGGAATTACTGTGTTTCTCATAAAATAAGGCCGGGTCTTATTTTTTTTTTGAGCCCCGAAAAAACAGTTAGGACATCTTTTGGGGGTGACTTAATTTCCTCCCCCACACACACACCTAGGGCACCCCATGTGCACTCACCTCTCCACAAGGCTGCTTCTATCGGCCAATGGTAGCTCCCGGAAGGCAGAGTCACCAGCCGCTTCAATCGGCTGGTAAAACTGGCATTGTGGAGAGGAGAGTGTGCATGGGGTGCCCTAGGTGTGTGTGTGGGGGGGGGGAGGAAATCTATTGGCTGATAGAAGCGCCCTCGTGGCGAGCGCCCAAATGAACTCCCCTCACCACGAAGCCGTTCCTATCAGCCGATGGAAGCTCCCCAAAGGCAGAGTCACCAGCCACTTCGGGGTAAGGCGTTGCTGCCTACAGAGTGCTCCTGACAGGAGTGCCCCATGTGCACTCCCCTCACCACAAAGCCATTTTTATTGGCCGATAGCAGCTCCCCAAAGGCAGAGTGACCAGCTGCTTCTATAGGCTGGTAGAAGCGGCCTCAGGGTGAGCACCCCACGCACACTCCCCTCGCCATGAAGCCACTTCTACCAGCTGATAGAAGTGGCTGGTGACTTCCATCAGCCAATAGAAACAGCTGGTGACTCTGCCTTTGGGGAGCTACCATCGACCAATAGAAACAGTTTTGTGGTGAGGGGACTGCGCATGGGCACTCGCCCTGAGGCCTCTTCTACCAGTCGATAGAAGCGGTTGGTGACTTTGCCTTTGGGGAGCTTCTATCAACCGATAGAAATGGTTTCGTGGCAAGGGGACTGTGCAGTCCTAATTATCCTCTGAAGTCTGTGCCTGTCCTGTTGGGTTGCAGAACCAAACCAGA